AGGCAAATCACAATCATCCGCCAACTCAACTCATACAATACTCAATCACATGCCAAAGCCAGTCCACCAAATTCACATTCAAGCATTAAGTCACACATGGACCATCACAAGTTAACCCGCCATTCAAATACTCTTGGCTCCTCATTCAGTCACCCCAAGCCGGTCTTTAGACCGCCACAAATCAGTCTGCAATTTCTCATTAGCTCGGCCCAAACAAACCAACGCGAACAATCGCCAATCGAACATTAAATCACATACGAATAATCAATAAACTTGACATAAATTTCCAGCATTATACGGACCCCAAACCAGCCCAAAGATCAGCAATAAACCACCTCGATTCAGCCTACGCTCCGACCCATTCACTCACCCCGAACCAGCCAACAATTCCGTCACCAACCCGCACTAAACGACCATCCAATCAACCCCGAACAGCCCCTAATCAATTTCATTTCCACCTCAAACGACCCCTAAGCAAGTCTATTAGCACCCAAAGCCCTAGATAAGGTTTAGGGTGTCGCTTACCTCGACTTGAGCAAGAAAACGAGGTTGGTCAGCAGGGGAAATCGTCGGGACAGCCGCAGCGACGGCGATTGGCGAGGCTCTCGGCCACGACCGGGCGACGGCGGCGGCAAGGGAGCTCCGGCTGAGGCGGAAACAGCTCGGCGACAGTTGGGGGGCAAGCAGGGGCCTCGCCGGAACAGCAGCAGCTCCGGCAACGGCTGGCGGCGACGGCGGCGACGGGAATGAACAAAGGAATGGGTAGCTGGCCGGAACAGGGGAAGGGGAACAGTCGGGCTAAGGGGGGGTCAGAAGCTACGGACGACGGCTCCGGGCTGGGGTGTGCGGCGGCTAGACGAGTGGCGGCACACGGCGGACGGACTGGCGACGAGAACAGAATAGGGGAGGGCGGAACAGGGGATGGGGCGGCAGAGGGAGGTCTCGCCAGAACAGCAGTGGCTCCGGCGGCTGAGGAGGGAAGCTGGGTGGCGGCGACGAGTCGGCGAGGGCGGCAGTGGCCAGCAGCGACGGCGGCGACCGGTCGGTCGGGCGCGGCGACGGCTCGCGGGCGAAACAGGCGAAACAGGGGAAGGGAAGCCAGAACAGGGGAAGGGGAAGGAGAGGAGGTCATGGCGGCGATGGCGCGGCCGGCGGCGGTGCGGCGAGATGTGGTGCCGAGCGACGGCAGGCGGTGGGTAGCAAGAAGCAGGAAGCAGAAGCTCGGTCTGAACAGGGGGGAGGCAGCAACGACGTGGGCGACTGGCGATTGATCGACGAGCGGCAGCTCCGGCAGGCGACCGGCGAGCGGCGGCTTCGACGGGCGACCAGCGAGCGGCAGTGCCGAGCGACGGTGACGGGCTCGGCCAGAAGGGAAGTAGGGCAGCGGCAGTGAAGGGGAAGGATAACGATCAGGGCAGAAGAGAGAGAGGAGAGAGAACGTGATGGGAGGGGGGAGAGAAAGAGAGAGAAAGGACAGACGGGACAGCGAGGAGGAAACGTGAGCGGGAAAAAGGGAAGGAGGAGGAGAGAGAGAAAGAGAGAGAGAGAGAGAGAGAGAGAGAGAGAGAGGAGAGAGAAAAAGTCAAATAATGAATGCGATCCAACGGCCGGAATTCAAGTTTGAAAACGATCCTACGGTCCAAATTAATCCTAGAATATAATAAGGGACAAAGGCCAAATCAATTAAATCAAACTACTCCGAGAGAGGTCTACTAGTCCAAATCCGCACCCGGTCAAAAATTCACTTTTCCACTATTCCTGGCAACCTCGACGTTGGCCACAATAATATCGACACCGTCCAATTAAATTCGTCCTGAAACTCCGAGAAATTTGACACCAAAGTTTGGGCTCTTAATAACGGCCAAATTCAATCGAGTGCGATTCTAGCGAAATCTAAAATTTAAAAAGAATAACCCAGGAGTGATCAGTTCCGGACAAGATTTTATTATAAGCGCACTGACAAAATACCCATTTTATAAATCCCAAAAATGGACCGAAATTCGGAATGTCACGACTCTTCCCTCCTTACAAAAATTTCGTCCTCGAAATTTACAATCCAACCCAACTATTCAAACAAATGGTGGTATTGGTGTCACATCAACTCTTCGTTTTCCCATGTCGCACCTTCGGTTCCATGGTGCTCTCAAATCATCTTGACCGTTTCGACTGACCGCTAAACCAACTCGGGACTCGTGATACTCTTCTCACCCACTTCATCCCAACAAACCGGTGTTCTGCAAGCTCTGACATACAATGCTTCAAACGGTGCCATTCTGATACTCTGCTAATAGCTATTGTTGTAGGCAAATTCAACCAAATGCAACTATTCCTCCCAGTTACCTTTAAAATCCAATACACATGCCCGTAGCATATCCTCCAAAGTCTGAATTGTCCTTTCAGACTGGCCATCTGTCTGTGGATGATAGGCCGTTCTAAATTGTAACTTTGTTCCTAATGCCATATGAAGACTTTTCCAAAAAGCGGCAGTGAATTTCGGATCACGGTCTGAGGTAATCGTCACTAGCACTCCATGTAGACGAACTATCTATTGCACATACAGCTCTGCGTACCTTTCTAGCGCGAAGTCCTTTCATACTGCCAGAAAATATGCCGATTTTGTCAACCGATCTACTATAACCCAAATTGAATCATGGCCCCTCTAGCTTCTCGGTAGTCCCATAACAAAGTCCATCGTGATATGCTCCCATTTCCATTCAGCGATTTCCAATGGCTGCAACAATCCACCAGGCTTACAATGTTGCACCTTCACTTGCTGACCTGTTAAACACTTGGCCGCGTGCTTAGCTACATCTACTTTCATGCCGTTCCACCAATAATGTTGTCGCAAGTTCTGATACATTTTCGTACTACCCGGGTGAATACTATAATTGCTACGGTGTGCCTCAGACAAAATATCCTCCTTAAGTTCTGCATTACTGGGTACACACAACCGTCCGCGGAACTCCAGAATCCCATCCTTGGATACCTGAAAGTCCGATTTCCTTTTTGTTACATCCATACCTAGAATCTTTTGAATCTCTAGGTCCGTCGACTGTAAGGCCTTGATCTTAGTTTGGATTTTCGGCTCAATCCTTAATGCTGCAAGCAGACTTGAGCCCTGACTCACTTCCAACTTAAATTCTGAATCCCAAACTCCCTACAATAGAGTCCATTCCTTGACCATCATATGCGCGATGATCGATTTCCGGCTCAGTGCATTCGCTACTTTGTTAGCTTTTCCGGGATGATACATAATCTCGCAGTCATAGTCCTTACGGAGTTCCATCCAACGACGCTGTCTCATGTTCGATTCTTTTTGGGAAAAACAAGTACCTTAGACTTTGATGGTCCGTATAAATCTGAAATTTCTCCCCACACAAGTAGTGTCTCCAAATATTAAGAGCGAATATAATCGCGGCCAATTCCAAGTCGTGCGTCGGATAATTCAACTCCTGTAGTCTCAATTATCGCGATGCGTATGCCACTACTCTTCCATGTTGCACTAGCATGCATCCCAATCCTCTTGGCGACGCATCACTGTAAATCTCATATCCTCTCGGACCTGACGGGATTGTAAACTCCTTTTGCACTTATCCGTCCATTCAAACCTCGTTTCTTTCTTTAGTAATTGCATCAACGGCGTCGCTAATGCCGAAAATCTCTCTATGAAGCGTCTGTAATAACCCGCTAGATCCAAGAAGCTCCGAACCTCGGTCACTGTTGTTAGCCTCGGCCAATTCGTGACAGTCTCAATCTTTGTCGGGTCCACCGCAATTCCTTCTCCGGATACCACATATCCTAAGAATACTACCCGATTTAGCCAGAACTCACACTTACTAAACTTGGCATAGATTGTGTGTTCTCTTAAAGTTTGTAGAACCATCCGTAGATGTTGCTCGTGCTCCTCAAGACTCCTTGAATACACTAAGATATCGTCGATGAATACAATAACAACTGATCCAAGAATTCCCTAAATACCTGATTCAGCAAATCCATGAAAGTAGCTAGGGCGTTAGTCAATCCAAATGACATCAATGTAAACTCATAGTGTCCCTATCTCATCCTAATTGCCATCTTCGACACATCCTCCTTCTTAATTCTCAATTGATGATAGCTAGTCCTTAAGTCAATCGTTGAAAATATCAATGCCCCTTGCAATTGGTCAAACAGGTCATCCATCCTTGACAATGGGTATTTATTCTTAATAGTCACCTGATTCAACTATCTGTAGTCAATGCACAACCTCAAAGACCCATCTTTCTTTCTCACGAATAACACTGGCACTCCCCATGGAGACGCACACGGACGGGTAAAGCCTTTATCCAGTAACTCCTGCATTTGGACCTTTAATTCTTTTAATTCAGACAGTGACATTTTATAGGGTGCTTTCGAGATCGGTTCTGTCCTGGGGCTAACTCAATCACGAACTCCACTTCTCTATCAGGTGGCAGTCCCGGCAATTCCTGAGGAAAGACATCGGGAAGATTACACACCTCGGTTATGTCCTTTAGCCTTGGTTCATCAACCAACTAGTCAGCCACAAAATAATTATCTTTCTATACCTCAAAGACAAAGCTCAATCTACCCAATTTCAATCTAACGGTCTCCCAAAAACAATCGCCCTGGTTCTTTACAAAATCCGAAATTTTCGAGTGATAACTCATTCATCCAAATCTTGTTAAAGGATATCGTTAGTGATTCCAAAAAACAAAAACTGATTGCGTCAATTTACCATGAGCAATTATACATCTTACACGACCATTCGAATCTAAAATTTTCGAAAATCACTTCTAATACACCCAATATCCTTACACATCGTACTTAAACCCTTAAGACAAGTCTTCCACTTCCTTCCCAGCCACAACTCACACTTTTCCTTACGCCCGTAGTCGATTCTAATTATTCGATGGAGCAGCTCCCGCTTGATGTCCTACTCGCGATTGCCACGGTTGTATCGACGGCCTACCCTGTCGGTTCAGGCAGTTTCTCACTTGGTGACCTCACCCACCACATCCAAAGCATACTCCAGCCCTACTCGGGCAAGGCCCATTTCCGTGTCTTCCCCCACAAAGTCGACAAGTCGTATTCGAATGGTGAGCCGGCTTCCCGATATTTTTCCTAACGGGAGGGACGAGGCGACTATTTCCCATCATTGGCCTCTTTCCAACGTGACGATTGTCCCTAGCCGGGGCATACCGCGATTCAGGGGCGGCAGCCCGATCCATCAAATCACGCTCAATTGCCTGAGCCCGATCATAAATCTCGTAATAACCCCTCAAGTTCAGTGATATCATCTGACTGCGGAGGTCTGGCTTCAGCCCATCTCGGAACCTCCTGGCTTTGTCTGCTGGGTCTTCTACCATTCTTGGGGCAAACTTGGACAGCCTTGCGAACTCGGCCTCATATTGGTCTACCGGCATCTGACCCAGGCGAAGCCTCATGAATTCTGCCAACTTCTGCTCTCGGGCACTTTCGGAGAAATACTTGCCATTGAAGGTCTCGGTAAAGACAGTCCAATTCGGGGCAGTACCAACAGGGAATACTTGACCCTTGGTGGCTCTCCACCAATCGCTTGCATTTTCTTGAAGCTGGTAGACAGCTAGGATTACTTTTTCTTCTTCCGTGCATCCCAGCACCTCGAAAGCTTTCTCTAGCTCTTCCACCCACCGAGGTGCAGCCTCCGTATTACCTCTACCATCGAACCTCGGGGGCTTCAACTTCAGAAACTGTTCGACCAGCTTAGACATTGGTCTGATTGCATTTACTTGGCCCTGAGCTGGATTCCCATCATTCCCGTTGTTCCCATTGTTTCCATTACCGCCAATAGCGGCGGCAACAGCGGCCTCTGCAGCAGCAGCGATAGTAGCATTCCACTCTTCAGTCTGTCTACCCATTAGAATCCCGACCTCTTGTAGTGCCCTCAAAATTCCATCCACCCGGGGATCCTTTGCAACTCTAGCTTGCGGGGCCACACTGTAAGAGTCTGAATTTTCGATCCTTTTCCCAGGATTTAAGAAATGAATTTGACCAATATACTATAGTGAGATCTCATCCGGAATAGCGCATTCACAGGATGCTAACCTTAGGGGTAGGTCTATTACGGGATTGAGTTCGCACGACCAAAGAACTCGACCTGGGTTTGATCTTCAACCATATGGATTGACGAGGGAATGTTATGAGCCAACCGAGACCGATCTATTTGATTGATCGTGTCCAAAGGGAACTAGTGACAGACCTTCGCAATTATATGACAACCGAGGTCGTCCCGGGTAGAGTAAACTTAAACGTGATTTGACTTAGTGTCGGTCATGGGTCGAGAGCGCGTAATCCCAATGAGCCACCCGCTAGCCAGAGATAAGCTAAAGTCGCGATTGTTCAATTTTAGTCATTTCTTGGAATTCGGGCCCGTGAATCGAGAATTTTGAAAGTGACAATTTGGAGCGGCGGATGATGTTTTTGGCTTGGCCAACCTTGGGGCCACCTATTTCTGCAAAAAAATGGATTTCGGTTCGGGGCCGGAAAAATTACGATTTTGCCCCTCGGGACCCCGACGTTGATTCTGAGGCCGTATGAGATTATTTTTCGAGGCCGATGTCATTTTAGGGTGGCCACGCATATTTGGAGGGGAAACCGTCAAAAATTGGAATTTTGGCTCGGAAGTGAAAATAATATTATTTTATTCCCCAGGACTTTGCAGTCGATTTTCGAGGGCTTAAGAAGCTATTTTCGCGATTCCGACGCCATATTACGTTGGCCACACTCATTTGGGGTTGGTATAGCCAAAAATTAGAATTTCGCCCCGGGACCGGAAAAATGACCATTTTGCCCCTGGGTCGTTTTCAGTTCCGAATTTTGAAAAAATATTTGGGATAATTAAGAGTACTTATCAGCTGAATTATTGGACCTAATTACCTTTTTGCCCATCAATTATTTGGTTGGAATGATTATGGACCGTTAGATTAGGGGCATTTTGGTCAAAACCGTTGGATCGGCGACACGTGGCGCCCTCTAGCCCCAATATTTGACCAGTTTGGACCAGACTCTCTCTCCTCTCCCCCTCATTCGGCCAGTCCCCCCCCCAACCGAGCAGCCCCCTCCTTCGCCATTCTCTCTCTCTCGGCCATTCTCGCCGGAGCTCGTCGGACCGCCGCCGTGCCGCCGCCGTCCACTGGTGCTGCTGCTCCGCCTGACCTCACCTCACTGCCATCACCCTTATCCCGTCCGTTTTCTCTCTCCCTCGTCCCCGTTTTCTCTCTCTCCCTTGTTTTCTCTCTCGGCAAAGGAACGCCGGAGCTCGCCGCCGCCGCACCGGAGCTCGAACAGCCGAGCCGCTGCCGCCGTGACGTCCAGCCGCGTCGTACGTCATCGTACGTCGTTGTCTGTACGGTGTCCATACAGTGTTCGTACGGCGTCCATACGGTGTCTGTACGGTGTCGACCGTACGCCTCCGCCGGCGACGCCGCTGCTGCTACTGCTGTTTCGCACCGTTCCAGCCCTGGTTTGTCTCGCTTTTTAGGGTAAGTGTCTCCCTAAAAACTACCTAGGTCCTCGGGTATTTCTAGGCTCGTTTAGGACCCGGTTTAGGCAATTTTGTGGCTATTTTGGGACTGAATGAGTGGCTGATTGTTTGGCGGTTTTGGACTGAATTGGCGATGAAAATTTGAGGTTTAGGAAGCTCGGGTAGGGCTGTGATGTTGTGGCTGGATTGGGGGTTGAATTGTGCAATCGATCGGTGGGATTATGCTATGAATTGAATTGTGTACGTGGTTGTGTGATTTGTGATTGTGGGCTGATTTGGATTATGCTTGGGTTGAAGGTGGTGTGGTAATGTGCCGTAGGTGTGTGGCCGTGAGGTGTGGTGGTGTGATAGTGCATTCGCGTATTGTATTCGCGTGCCAAGAATGTGTGATTGGGTGGCGTATTCGTTTGACGAGAATGTGAAATTGTGAAATGTGTGTGTGAGGTGTGTATGTTTGGCCGTACGACTGTTGACCGTGTGTAAGTGTGGTTTGAGTGGAACGAGGGTACGGAAAATGTAGGATTGGTTGGCAAGGATCCGTTCTGAGGCGTGTACGTTTACGCGGGACGATGCCGTCCCTGACGAGGTGACGATGCCCGGCCCGACGGGGTGACGATGCCTGACGTGGTTAGAAGACCGTTGGCCTGATGCGTTTTACGCGGGCGCGGTAGAAGGAAAGTGTATGTAGGATTCCGTCCTGAGATGTGTTCGTTTACGCGGGACGATGCCGTCCCTGACAAGGTGACGATGCCCGGCCCGAAGGGGTGTCGATGTCTGACGAGGTCAAAAGACCGTTGGCCTCATGCGTTTTACGCGGGCGCGGTAGTGGTGGAAGAGTTGAGAATGAGCGGGAATTGGCTTGAGGTGCGAGATTTGAGAAAGTGACGCATGGTGTGAGTAGTGTGCGAGTGTGTTTGTATCGCGTGATGTAATGCTTAATTATGGGGTAGAAACTGCTAGGCACGGTATAGGACGTGCCCAAGTGTTTTCTATCTTATAATTGAGGCACGCGCGCATCTGTGATTCCTTGCTGTGATGTGCTGGCTGTATTATGGTCTAACGTGCAGGAAAGTTCATGATGGGTTCCAGGTAGGTTCGTGTGTGATTGTTAGATTGATTGATCGTTACGTGAGATGCGTGTTCTGTCTGGCGGTACGTGAGTGCTTACGTGGGATGTGAGGTTGTACATTTATTGAGATTCGTCTCATAGTTGTATAATCCACAATTTCAGACCCCCAACCGTAAACCCGGGAAGTTCGCCTCTTCTTTTTGGAAGTTCGAGGAACCACCTTTGGTGCTCGGTGGAATTGCAGGTGAGTGTCCGGAGGCTCAAGCCCAAAGAATCAGGAGCAGAAAGGAAGGCGACCAGTAGGCATTCCCTAGGCTATTTTAGGGGTTGTTTAACTTGGGTTATCCGATAGTGAAGTTAAGAGAACCAAACCCCTGAACTTTTATTAAAATGGTGGCGGAGGATGTTCGTCGGTATTTATGTCTGTAATATGATGTTTGTATATTTGGTGCTGTATGAAGATGTTGTTGTTTGATTCTTATGGTGTTCTACCCTGTTGTCATCATGTTTTTGTCCGGGGTTTTGTTTTATATATCTCGCTTCCACATGTGGCTTTAATGTTTGGGTTGGGTCGGCGACGTTCCTGGGACGTCGCAACAAATTTGACCTGTAGAGGGATGTCGCGAGCTCGATGGGGTTCGGGGCGTAACATCCCCGTTTTGAATTGGTATCAGAGCAAGGCTAGCTCGATACTGGCAAGGTCGAGACCTGGAGTGATAAGGAGCGACGACTTCAGGGTAGCTAGTTAGGGAGCCCTTTGTAGATGCGTGTTTATGTTGATTGTGCGTGTTTTGTGAGTACGCGCCTGTGATTGCTGAGTGGTTTGTTGTGGTTATAATGATGGTTGAGATGAAGGTACGGCAGGACTTGAGGTGAGTACGAGAACCCTGTTGAGTGGTTGGTGATGTTGGGTTGATGTTAGGTGATCGGTTTGATGGTGGGTTGTCGGTTGTCGAGTGCTGGTTGTCGAGATTGGTGCCTAGGCTTTGGACTAGTGTAGTTGGCCTAGACCTCTGATACCCGTGTGGACTTATAGCAGGTAGGAGAATAGTAGGAAGCTGATACAATGAGCAACGAAGGAAGACGAGTCGGAAGAGTCCCAAGAACGGGCGCTGGAAGAGGAACAAGAGGTAGAGGTCGTGCTCGAGCTAGAGCCGTAGAGGACATTGATACGGGTGCTAGAGTGGTAGAAAACCCTGGAGTTGGTGTAGGAGCTGCAATGGACCCCAGAGCTGATGTTAGACCTGTGGAAGATCCGCGTATGGAAGGAGTCCTCAGAGTACTAGAGAGGATTGAGAATATGATGGATAGACAAGCTCAAGAGTGAGATAATGCGACCGCCCAAGCTACTGAGGCTGCAGCTGCTGTAGTTAATTAGAATGCTGGTGTTGGAGGAAATCAAGCCCAGCAAGGGCAGGTTCAACCAGCAGGGGTTAGACAGATGCCCCAATTAGTGGAACAATTCATAAAGTTGAAGCTGCCTTAGTTTCATGGTAGTCGTGACCCCGAGACTGCACCGAGATGGGTGGAATCATTGGAGAAAACTTTCAAGGTTCTGGGGTGCACCGATGAGGAAAAGGTAACATTGGCGGTTTATCAGTTGCAGGACGGTGCAAATGATTGGTGGAAGGCCACAGAAGGCAGAGTATTCCCTGAAGGAACGGCACCGACTTGGGTAGTCTTTGTCGAGAATTTCTATGAGAAGTATTTCTCTGAGAATGCCCAGGAAAAGAAGTTGATGGAGTTTATGCGACTACGCCAAGGTCAGATGACCGTTGACTAGTATGAAGCAGAATTCGCGAGGTTGGCGAAGTTCGCACCGACTATGGTGGAAAATCCGTGAGATAGGGCTCGAAGATTTCGGGACGGTTTGAAGCCGGATCTTCGGAGCCTGATTTTATCACATGACATTAAAGATTATGGAGAAATGTATAGGCGTGCTCAGATTATCGAACAGGATATGACGGATAGAGCCACTGCGTCTGGATCGCAGTATACCTCAGCCGGGGATGATCGTCAGCAAGGGAAAAGACCGATAATGGAAAATCGACGTTTTGTCCCTCCGGCAAGAAGGAGTATTGGGAAATCGGCACATCCGTCTAATTCAGCCTGTAGACGATGTGGGAGACATCATGGGAGTGGTCCCTGCCCAAGTGTGACTGGGGCATGTTTTGGGTGTGGCGGAATGGGACATCACATAAGGAATTGTCCGAATATTCAGGTTCGACCACCCCCGTCATCGCAGACACCTCGGATTGGGAATCCGACTAGTGCAGCCCTGCCGGCTAGTTCGAACAGACCGCCGG